CTATAAGCATGTCAAGTTTTGAAACCATTTGGTAATCAAAATTATTAATTGAACCTTCCAAATGCGCTTCGAGTCTTCGATTTGGACCCATTTGAGCTTGGATTGGGTCGAAATTGGTATTGTTGGGTTCGTATTTTCGAGACGTTCAATTTGACTGTAAGTTTGCTAAGATCAGAGTTTAGATGGTCTCCAATTAAATTTTTGAATTTTCAACTTTTTTTTTGCCTAGAGATTCTTGCCCGGTCAAGATTATTTTTTTATGATATACTAGTTGCCTCCATGTATTTGGATGTTGAAGCTCTAAAAGTCCAAAAATACTTGTCACAACATTTCAAATTGAGCAAATCAAAAAAATTGTCAGAAAATTGCGTTGAAAACATTTAAAATTGAAAGAAATTATTTATGGAAGCTCTATTGAGCTTCAAAAGTGTGAAAGTTGGATAAGGAATGCCAAATATGATTCCATATACCTCAAAAATATCCGATTTGGCCTATCCATGCCAAAAAAAAATCAGGCTCGAACATGCCTTTATAGCAAAACTAGACGGCCGGCCGGCCGCCAACCGCTGGTGGACGCCACAGCCGGCGATGAAAGGGCACGCCCCTTGGGGCACACGGTCAGAGCAAGCAGCCTATTATTAAACTAGATGTAGTTATGTTCATTAAAAAAAATCCTTCATTTCTTATGGTTGCTATAGTAACCCGCAATGCTACAGTAAATGTGGTTTGCTATAGTACCCATTCCAGTTTTTATGGGCCTCGCAAAATTTTTTTTTCATAATACCAAAATTTTATATGTAGGTACAATAAATTTCAAAAAACTTCTATAATTCAAAAAATTTTGAAAGAAATTTGAGGTAAAAATTTTCTCCCTCCCCCTGCCCCAAATCTGAACATTATCCCCCCCATTTTAGTCATATAAATATCCCCCTTGGAGTTGGATAAAATTGCTCCTCTCTTCTCTTCCCTTCTCCCTCTAACTCTCTTAAAGTTGTGGCATTCTACTATTTTTAGTAGGTGGCATCCCTACTTAAATTCAGTACCCCTCTCATTGTGTAGAAGTTAGAATTTATTTTTTCTTTTATTGTCTTATCTTCTAGTTTTCTTCTTATATTAGAGGCATTCCACTGTCTGAGATAGGTGGTATCCCTTATCAAAATTTAGTGCCCCTCACTTGTAGAAGAATTCATGATGAAAACTATCCTTGACAGATGAAAATCAAATATCATTTGCATGCGAGGGTTATTTGAGAAGATCTGACAGTAATAATACCCGGGAGGAGAACCAATGATTCTTAGTATATAGCAAGAATTTTAATGATGTTTGAGCAGAAATCTAGAGGCAATTAATGATCAAGTAGAAGTCTAATGTCGATCGATGGAGGGGTGGAGAGCTGTCAAGTAAAAGGCTGATGTTGATCGATGGAGGGGTGGAGAGCTGAAGGAGATAGTTGGAGGTTGTGTTGCTAATAGCAGTCGAGCGAGAAGCTGATGATGGTTGATATGAAGTAAAGGACCAACGATAGACATCAGATGAAGGGTCGATGATGGCTGTGGACTAGTTGCATTTTATTAAGACACTAGACATTTATACAGATATGTGTAAACATTATATATCCCTGGTTGAAGGAGTCGAAGCAGTGTGCCATGTTAGTAGTGTGGCGACACACTAATAGTATCAATTGAGTGGGGACCTGATGATGATCAGGTTATAATTTTTCTTTGAAGAATAAATTGCAGGATATGCTTTAATGAGCAGTAGAGAAGTGGTCAATAGAATCCACCAATTATATTTAACATTTTTGAAGTTATTTGTTACTTAATGACATTAACTTATACAGATAATGTCGATGCACATTTAATTTCAACTTCTAATAAGAATAGATGTACACTTGAATCTGATGTTTAATCTATGTAACTCATTGATATTATATATAAAGTTGAGATTATTGTATTAACTTAATGCTTATTTTTTATTTAAAATGAACTTGTCCTTTAGAGGAAATTAAGTTGTTTATACATCTTTGAGATATACTTTGATATACAGTCCTCATGCTTTTTTAGGCTTTTCTAGACGGCTAAGGTCTTCATATGATTGATGATTTTATCAATCACTTACTTCATGGAATCTTTATAGATAGAATATTGTTCACTCAGAGCATTGCTCGATGATGTTGACCTCTATAGAAGAGGTCTAGAGAATCCATAAATGATGTATGCCCTTTTTGAGATTATATGTCCGAGTATTGCTTGATGATGTTAACCTATATGGAAGAGGTTGAGAGAATCCATCAATGATGTATGACCTATCATAGGTTGAATGTCAGAGCCCTACTCGATGATGTTAACATATATGAAAGAGGTAAAGAGAATCTATCAATTATGTATAACCTATCTGAGGTTGTATATGTCAGAGCCCTGCTCGATGACGTTAACATATATAAGGGGTAGAGAGAATCCATCAAAGATGTATGACCTATCTGAGATTGTATATCAAAGCCCTGCTAGATTATATTAACCTATATGGAACTGGTCGAGAGAATCCACCAAGGATGTATGACCTATCTGCAGTTTTATGTCAGAACCCTGCTCGATGACGTTAACCTATATGGAAGAGGTCGAGAGAATCCACCAAAGATATATGACCTATCAGAGGTTATATGTTAGAGTCATGCTCAATGATGTTAACCTATATGAAAGAGGTCAAGAGAATCCAGTAATGATGTATGACATATCCAAGGTTTTATGTTAGACCAATGCTCGAAGATGTTAACATATATATAAGAGGTATAGAGAATCAACCAAGGATGTATAACCTATCTGAGGTTATATGTCAGAGCCCTACTCGATGATATTAAATTATGTGGAAGAGGTCGAATCAAATCCCCTAGGATCAATTTTACATTGATTTGGAGAGGGCGAATGCCACGTGTATCCCAAATTAAAGGTGAAGAATGGTTTATCTTTAGATTGTTATTGTCTTTTGAGGTCGAGATTAAGACATTGCCCAAAGAGTAGAAGTTTATTAATAGATTGTATAAAGCTTAAAATTTATTAGAACCATCATTGCATTTTCTAAAAGCTTTATGATCTCAAAATATTGTCTTGTATATTAGAAGAGTTGGAGAAATCTTCTTATTCACGATTATAGTCAAGGTTGCCCTCCTGTCCATATTTAATTCCTATGAAATTGATGTAGCAATAACTAATGCTAGGACGTTAATACAAATTACCTTTTAAGATTGGAACAAAAATTGCCCCAGTCGGGAATGATGTTCCCATAGATGGCGTCAAACTATTGCGTCATGGAATATTCGTGGTGGTAGAGAAATATATTTTTAATATCTTAGCTTTATACGAAGATCCAATACGCATACAGATAAAAAGAGATGGTGGAGCATTCATAAGAGACACCAAGATTTTTTCGTGGAAAACCCTAAAAAGGGAAAAATCATGGGGTCTGGTCTAGTTTAAATGAATCACTATTATTTGGAGTCGATTACAAGTGAGGCCCTTCATTGGGGGGAAGGCCTTGGCTTGATGTAACAAATATACATCATATATAATGTGTTATATGGTGGAAATATGAAGAATCACTATTGATGTATTTGTTTGGTAATAAGGACCATAGTCGGTGGGCGACGGAGATCAAAAAGACTGTTATGTGGTGACGGAGGTCAGAAGGATCATAGTCGGCGGACAATTGAGGTCGGAAGGACCATTGTCTAGTGATAGAGGTCAAAAGAATCATAGTCGACGGGCAATAGAGGTCATAAGGACTGTTGTCTAGTAACAGAGGTCAGAAGGGCCATAGTTGGCGGGCGACGGAGGTCGAAAGGACCGTAGTCGGGAGGCGATGGAGGTCCGTCATCAATTGGTGGCTTTGCAAAAGTCCGACATTAGTTGGTGGCCGGGCAGAAAAATTGGCAGTTGGTAGACGTATAGAAGTCTGACGTAAGTTAGCGGTAAGGTAGAAGTCCCGCGATGGGCAGAAGTCTGGAAATGGGTAGAAATGTGGTGCAGGTACAAGTTTGGCGTCGGGTAGAAGTTCGGCGACAAGCATAAGTCCGATGATTGGCGGAAGTCTGGTGTCGGGTAGAAATCCAACAATGGTCGGATGTCCGACATGGTCAAGAACGAGTCACTTCCTTTTTTTCATTTTCTTCTTATTTCCTTGCTTAATTTCGGTGTCAGTTGGTGATCAAGCAGAACTCCGTCGTTGGTCGGCTGCCGGGTGAAAGTTCGACAGTGGTCGAGGAGGAGTCTTTTTCTTCTCTTCCTTGCTTCCTTCTTTTCTCTTCTTGCTTGGGTTTGCTTCTCCCCCAGCCCCCCTTTGGGGTTCCCTTTCTATGAGAAATGAGAATCCTATTATAGTTTTCTGAAAGTAGCATGACTAGTAAATATGAGGAAAATTAAGGGTAATTTGAGAGTGGTTTGAATAGACGGCCGATGTTGAATCCCTTGTTCGTAGACCATTTAATAGATATTTGAATGTTTAATGATATCATAATTTGACGATCTTTAGCTTGTTGGACTCGTCTCATCGAGCCGCTCGATTCGACTATAAGCATGTCATATTTGGAAATTGTTTGTTAATCCAAATTATGGATTGAACCTTTTTAATGTGCTTTGGGTCTTCGGACTCATTTGAGCTTGGATTGGGTCGAATTTGGTATCATTGGGTTTCTATTTCCGAGACGTTCAGTTCGACTGTAAGTTTACTGAAATCGGAGTTCATATGGTCTCCAATTTAATTTTTGAAGTTTCCAACTCAATTTTTGCCTCGAGATTCATGCCCGATCAAGATAATTATTTTGATGATATATCAATTATTATGAAATTTATATCGAATGCTATTTTCAAAACTTTAAATTCACGTTTTAAACCATATTTACTTAAAAATTAAGAAGACCGTGATTATACTTTAAATTAATTGAAATAAAATTAATTTCTACATTTTTTTTTTTACTTTTTAAATCAACTTTTCGCCCATCAAGCGGCCAAGCTGAACGATTGGATTACATACTGAACTGACCAAAGCCAAGAAGTGGATCAAAATGTCGGAGCAGGAGCAGAATTCGACCTCGTCGGTGAAGAAAACTCCGAGTCCTCAGCCTCAGTCCCTACAGCCACCTGAATTTTCCGCGGGAAATTCATCGGAGGCATCGTGGAAGGTCGGGAAGTACCCTAACCCACCGGACTCGGTTAACCCCGATCCAGCAACACTCCGTGATCAATGGCGGTTCGCCATCCGCCAATACAGTAGATGGTATTCCCAAGCCTGGGGCACAGCTATACTTGCCGGCCTCTCCTTTTTCGCCCTCGGTTGGATCATCAAGGGCTCCAATCCCCTCCCCTCCCTCTCTCCACAACCCCCTCATGATGAACATGATGAACACCCTTCGCCTACAGCTACGGCCGCCACTAACGCAGACCAATGAAATACATGTGAGATCCCCTCTCGATATCAGTTTGATGACTCATATGTTTGATTTTTTTTTTTTTCTTATTTTATGTCTGATTCCATCTCAGATTGTGGTTCATATGGTTGATGATTTCACGAAGGTTGCTGGTTTAGTGTTTTTTATTCTTCTATTACTACTTCATATGTGCTTAAAATTGATTTAACAGTATTATTGTCCTATTTGTGAGCTTACATCTATTAGTACCATCGCACTCTATGATAATCACATCCCAATATCCTAGCAGTACAATGGGTAATAGTAGTAATATTATTGGAAGTTCTCGATCCAACACTCATCAAATCAAAAATATGTGCGACAATCATGAACATCGAAATTAACTAAAATTAGACCCTTGAAACTCATGGATGATTGGATACACATGATGGAAGAGTAACAAGCCCAAATCCTTTAGCTATTGGAGGAGATTGGGCAATAGAGAGTACCATCAGAACATGATATAATTGAAGGAGTGAATCTTGAGTTATTACTGAGCTCTTTTCTTATAGATCTTCGCCCTGGACCTTTCTACTCATTATTAATGGTTTGCATTAGATTATACTAATATTATTCATATAGTGGAAGCACAAATTAATGTTGATTAGGTTATCAATGCATATCAAAAATAGTTTGAGTAACCATCTTGCAAATGAAAGAATTGTCAAGCAAGTATATATCAAAAATCTGAACAAACAAAGCATGAGCAACCAAGAAATCAACTCTTTTCTCCTCAATCAATCCAATAACAATATAGTACAACCCACCCCCTCAAAAAAAGAGCATAAGTAGTTGAAGGAATATTGAACACTAAATATATCTCATGATAATATTTTAATGGCCATCTGAGATGATAAAACATTAAGTAGCTCAATTTTTTAAAACTAAATTCGGAAAATTTGGAACAATATTGTCTTTTTCATCATAGTCGTGGATATGCTACTAAGGCATGCCAATAACTGAAGGAGAAAATTGAGGTTAATCTAACAAGGTACAAGTTTATTCAAAATCGACTTACTCATATGGGAAATAACCCCATCTAGAGGCAAAATCAATAAAGTTAACAACAGGTCAATCGACAAATGGTTAAAGAAATCAATACTATAGTTGGATGGGATCCAAACCCCTTACTACCTCCTCAAGTTCTTCTTACTACACCTGAGCCAATATCAAAAAAAAATTGCATTCATCATTCTATCATATTCAATAATTGTAATTTGGAGGGGATCCAAATTCTACATTAGAATTTACTAGTCATCAATGCTAAGATTAATAATCCTTGCTACGATGTTTAAGAGAATCCTAATCAATAATAGAAGCTATGTTGATGTATTCTACTCCATATTCCTTAGCTTGAACATGGGAAGAGAGAAGCTCGAGCGTGCTACTAGACCATTATATGGCTTTGATAATCAACCGATAAGAGTAAAGGGAACAATCACTCTTCCTCTTACTCCCAAAAAAAAAAATCCTCGAAAAGCTATTCACTTGGTTCAAATTTGTCATGGTCAAGTCAAATTTGACTTGTCATACTATCTTTGAGAGAACCCTAACCCTCCCCAAAAATTAATCTTTAGGGTTGGCGAAGTACGCAAAATCAACAAATGTCATAGACTTGTATCTAATACAAGCTCAACTATGACCATTAGTGACCATGTACATTGAGAACTTTTTTTAATATGAAAATATGAATGAGCATTCTATATGTAGATATAAGGTAGTTCTTTACTCTTTGAGAGGAGAGATTTTAATATGTAGATTTTTATGATGAAATCAAAACAATTTTGCTAGGAATGTGGAAGGCATACTTGTTATTGATCCCGAAGAGGAATTTTACATCAGATCATCTACAAGTTGTAGAACAATAATTTGATAAACTTTAAAATGTTAGATTCATCTGAGATTTATATTATTTGACTGGCTGATGAATGTAGTTATGATCAAAAAGGTTAATAGAGCTCTAAAGATTTGGGTAAATTATACTAATTTAAAAAAAATAATAATAAATAAATAAAACTTACTTGAATGACAGTTTTCCCCTTATATAGGCTAATTGGTGGACGACAGTTTTGGGCATCAAATGCTTAGCTTCATAGATGTCTATTTAGGATATAATCAAATAAAGTTGAATACTTTCAATAAAAAAGCAACCTTTTTTAGACTAATAAAGGATTATATTGCTATTAGGTTATGACATTTGGATTGAAGAGGGTTTGTGCTGCCTACCAATGTCTTATGAACAAAATTTTCAAAAGTTTTATTGGATTTATGTTGGATATTTTTTTTGCTAATATGTTGGCCAAAAGTTTTAAGAGAACAAGTCATCTTTCTTTTTGAAGCAAGAATTTAAACTCCTCTAATATTATAATATGCACCTTAATCCTACTAAATATGCTTTCAAGTTTACATTAGAAAAAATTTTGGGATTCATAATCATCCATTGAAGAATTGAAAGAAACCTAGAGAAAGTTAAAAGTCATCTAAAATGACACTTTCAAGGAATATAAAGGACATATAATGCTTGAATGGATGAGTAGCACATCTTGTGATAAATATTTGACATTCTTCTGAACACTCAAATATGCTCGTAATGTTCCTTTCAATGGACAGTTAAGTATCAAATTATTTTTTAGCAACTCAAAATATATTTAGCTTTACCACATCTATTGTCAAAGTTAATCCCATGAGAAATGCTCCATTTATATCTTGTTGTTTCTTCCCATGCAATAAGTTTGTTGATAGTATAAGAAGAGAATGTGGGGGAATGCTTAGTTTATTATATCAGCAATATTCTTTCTAATATAAAGGGAAATATCCCTTGGCAAATAAAATTATTTTGGCATTCATTTACTCAACAAATAAACTACGCCCATAGTTTAAGCCCAGCTCATTGGTGTTTATGCCTAACTTCCATTGGCGTTTATACCCAACTTCCACTTAAGACTATCCTTCAAAAATCAGAAGCTTCTGGTTGTTTAATCAAGTGTTCAATGGAGTTAGGAGAATTTGATATTCATTTTTTGCCCAAGTTGGATATCAAACCATTAGTAGTTGTTAAATTTATAGTAAAATGCATGATTTCTATTGCAATTAAATGTCTCCTTTCTCTTAGGCCCCGTAGTGCATTTTATATGTCAATGGAGCATATGAAAATTTTGATGTTGGGGCAAGGATCCTACTTATCTTTCCTCAACATGATACTTTAACTAACTATAGCATCAAGTGTGAAGCCCTTGTGACGGAGCTAAGCCTCACCATAGATTATAGAGTTCAAAACTAATGAGTTAATACTAACTCTCAACTTATAGCTTCTCAAGTAAAAGAATATTTCAAAACTCATAATCATAATTGATATAATATATGAACTTACTGAAATCACTTCTTTCTCCTGTTAATACACATCAGATTATCCACATATCTCAGAAATAGAATTCTCGAGTTGATGCCTTTTTCAAGCCTGCAACTTCGATAATTATAAACTTGTATAAAATAAAATGCATTGAGGATAAACAAGGTTCATGGGAGATACAATCTATCGAAGAATTGAAGAAGACCTTTTTTATGAACTCCATAATCTCCTCTCTACATAATGAATGCTACCTAAAGATTTAATAGTTGTCATTTGCATTCGAGGAGAAGATTCAAACTTTGTAAATATTTGAAGATGAAGTGTATAGAAGAGCGTTTATAGTATCATATCTCAAATGCCTTCCTTTGTTAGAGGTCGAGTATGTAGTTCTAGAAATCCATTCAAGAGTATGGAGAACACTTGAGAGGTAGAGTGATCGCTTATAAAATCTTAAGGCAAAGATTCTCTGGCTTACAATAAAATACAATGCATTAGAATTTGTTCAAAAATATAATAATTATCAAGGCATCGCTAGTGATGGTAGACATCACATTATCATCCCCTAACGATTTATATAATCTCCTCGAATCATATTGTGTAAGAATCAGTTAGATTTCTTTTGTCATTGGATATTTTGGGTGGAGGATGATTACTTATAGATTATATCAAATCACTCACAATGCAAAGTAATTTGTTACTCTTTGTGGAAGAGCACCAAAGCATATGAGTGAGATATTTATTGTCTATTCATGACAGTGTATTATTAGAGCCTACAAAAGGGGAATTACCTAACAGCTATATAAGATAGTAGCAAACTTCTATTACTATAAAGAATTTGAGTCTACAATAAGATGAATGTATCCCCCACCCCATTATGGAGGGGTATTTATACTTGAAGGGGGTGGAAGTTTTAGAATTTATAATTTTCAAAAATAATATTTTTCTTTTCAAAAAAAAAAGAAGAAATATATGTATATATATATATACCTTTAAGAGGCGTTGAAGGCTCCTCTATTGAGAGGCACCTGCACCAAAGAGCACGAACCTGGTCTCGGCAATTTCCTACATGGCTGGTGGTCGATGGCTAACTGACCGACCAGCCCAACTCATTTGGCCCATTTCAGGTCCGATTTAGAATCCACTTTTTAGGCCTATGAGACTTTTTTTTATATATTTCAAAATTAATTTTGATATTTTTTGGAGCCCTGCTAAACCTTTACAACCAATTTTTGGCAAAATTGAAAAATTCAGACCAAATATTTTCAACAATTTTCGCTCCATTGGAGGTTCATTTTAATATAAAGAAAGTAATAGCACACTATAATTTTTCCAACGTAATAATTTTTTGATGCAATTTTTTGTGGATAACTTGCTATAGATTTTTGGATAACATAATTTTTGACATCTAAAAGTAGAGGGCAAATGCTAATTCTCCAAAAAAAACTATTTGATTAGCACAAATCATAAGACAATATTTGAATACTAGATAAATGATCTATGATTAAAGTGATTAATATATGCCATTCGATGGAGTGTTTTAAATTTTAGCTAAATTCATCTAAATATCTCTCTTAAAAAAGGTGAAAATAGGATCTCATTTTCTTCATGCAAGAGGTTTTAGAGCTGACATATTTGAAAAACTCTATTGCCTTAATTGACCATTGTAACAAACAACTTCCATCACCTAATTTTCGTTGCTCGACTCCCATCACATGACTAGTAACATCCAACCCTGTGATTGGATTTCAGTTGTCCGACTGTGAATTGAACATCCAACCTCTGTAATTTCTATAATAGGAATTAGACAATTGTTGTCAATTATGTGTAATATCATCTTTATCAATTGTGAAGAAGGGTGAATTTTTGTATATGTAAATTTGTAGTGGATTACTTCAATTGGATCAAGCCCTTTACATATGTAATTTCCAGGTCTCAAGTCCTGGATGAGAAAAGTGGAGAGTTGCGTTAGGTAGTCGACAGCCAGCGTAAAACTTGTCAAATAATAATGACATGAATCCTTTAAGAAATTTGTGGGATAAAGGCTTGATGTTGTTGTTTGGGTTTCCCACGTAAAAAGTTAGTCTCTTGCAACTTCTATTTGTATGCATATTAGATCTTTGTACAAAACTAAGAGCTTAAACATACTATCTCTACTGCCACAAATTTTCTAGCAGGTCACAAACTATCTAGTCTCTCAGTGTGTCTTATTTGAAGTCAGATAAATACCAAAGACAACCAGCAAATTTTAATTATTGACCCCAATAGTTATCATCCTCCATTTGATGAGGTTTTGTTGTGTGGATTTAGAAAGCCCCTTTCTTTTCATTCTGTATTATTGAATTTATAAGATGACTCAGAGATAATTGAAGAGTTTACACCAACGTTGGTATGGAGATATCATTTAGTGGATGAATTTTTGTGTTTTCTGTGAACCATGGGACTTAGAAAATACATAATAGTTAAGGTTCGTCTAAATTTTCTCTTAATACGTGAGCTATCTTGATGCTGCACTTTCAATGGCATCTATTTGTTACCTGTCTATCGTCACATTGGTACTTCAGTAGTTCAGTGCTATCTTTTTCTTAAAAGTGTAACGGGTATCTTAAACATTGATTATATAAGAATGGGCTATATGGTAACTAGATTTCTAATCACTGATAATTTTCTTAAATAGAATGTGTTCCCATCCTCTATGCATCTGTCAAGGAATTATCCATCTAGTCAGTATTTTGATGAATCCTGAAACCTGAGAAAATAAGCCTAATGATTTGTCCATCAATGGCCGAACGCTTCTGCATGACACACTGGATTCTTTTGAACCAACTACGGTCTTCAACCCTCTCTTTCCATTTCTTTATGATCTTCATTTGGGAGTGTCGATTAAATGAAGTTGTTTAGTTTTTCTTTGTTTCTACTAGGGATGAACCTTTTTTGGTTACCTTCTATTAAGTTCATTGTACAACTGATGGCAAATTGGCAATTTTCTCATTGAACTGTGCTCGTAGAAATGGAAATCTTAATTTTTCACTGTTTCTATTCTAGGCTTTTCGTTTTAATTGAAGAATTGAGCTTACTATTATATGCCTCCCTTTTTAATTGAATAATAGAGCTCAGCCACCGCCCACTGTGAACCAACACTTATCAACAGACGTGAAGGTCTGAACACTATGCCTACTCAACTTTGTTAGGACATCATGGAGGTTTTTGTAACATTGATCCCAAGTGGTTGGAATAAAGTTATGTCAATAATGATGATGATGATGTAGTTGTTGTTGATGTTGTAAGATTGACGAATTACAGTTTTAAGATATATGTTGATGGTTGTGAATCTAGGATTATGTGAGAGTTAGTGCAATGATAAAACAATTTATGCAGGTTATTTATCTTATGTTGCTTCTGTTTTTTCTTAGGTTTCGTTTGGGACGGCTTTCTTACTACTTCTTAAAGCAGCTTTCTAATAAAAAATCAAGTTTTTGTACTAAAAGGCAACTTTATGAAGCAGTAAAAAAGCCGTCCCAAATGAAACCTTAGTAATAAGTCTTAAGTTTGTGGTTTTGCTTTTATAACAAAGTTGATTTTACCCAAAAAAAAGAGCAAATCTCAATCCAGTTATTTTATTGAAAGGTAGAAGTCCTTAGGAGTAAGGACTTTAACTTCTATTTCCTAAAGAAAGTAAAGTGGGATGGTAGGAGGAGATTATCTCTGCAGCACACCCGTTCACTCTGTTAAAAAGAAAATCTGGAATGGGAGAGAGAGAGAGAGAGAGAGAGAGAGAGATTTTGTAATACTCGTACATATGAACGCACAAGGTGGTTTGACCAAATATTTTCCTATTTTAGTTGGATTACATCGAGGATCAGTTTTAAGCCCATATCTTTTTGCTTTAGTCATGGATGTTCTTACTAGATATTTGCATGAGGATGTATTCTAGCGTATGTTTTTTGCTGATGACATTCTTCTTGTCGATAAGACATAATCGTAGAAGGGTGAAAGAGAAAGCGGGGATTAGTTGCTGATGATTTGGAGTTGAGAGAACTTCTATTCGACTGAAATCACAAGAGACTCACAGCTTCCTGTTATAAGTGTGGAATCATAAAATATCAGCATGCTTTTTAAGTACCTTATAAGGATTACTTCTATTAGCTTGAAACATAGGCTTCGTTTCGAACGGCTTTCTTATTACTTCTTAAAACATTTTTTTAATATAAAAGTTAAAATTAACTTTTTTACTCGAAAACTACTTTAAGAAGCAGTAAAAAAGCCGTTCCAAACAAAGTCTTAGACTTCATTTGGGATAGCTTTTTATTGCTTTTTAAAATAGCTTTCTAGTATAATAATTTTTAGTTCAAAAAATTGCTTTTAGAAAGATTGTCATTTTGAAAGAATCATATTTTGAAAGAGAATTTTACTTGTTCTTAACAACATAAAAAGCAAACGCCCTCTTCAACAAATAACCTATTCAAAGATAAAAGTTTTAGAAAACCTAAGCTCTGAAACCCGTCTCAGGAGTAATTATTACATCCGGACAAAAAATCGGAAATCCGGACATATACCGAGCAATACCGAGTGCTCAATATCGAGTTTCAGGTGATGTAGCACTTGATTATTGGTCTCTGGACGTATCAGGTGATCTTACGTAATAATTGCTCCCGTCTCAGGCCATCTATTTTCACCACTGTTTCTAGCATGACTAAGATTTTATTTGGTACAGTTTTTTTTACTGTTTTTTTAAAGGAACTTAATACGAAATTTTATAATTAAAAAAAAATTATTTTAAAAAAATAGTAATAAAATTATCTCAAACAAAGCTTAGCCTAAGCTACAGGTTGAATTGATAGCCTCTTGTAGTCTGAATTAGATTTTTTTTGTTTTTTGTTGTTTAGCCTATGTTGATTTTTTTTTTTTCTAATTAGAAATCTATCAATCTGGGTTCATTGGGGCTGGTGTAACTGTTTATAAAAGTAGTATTGGAAAACAAAATTTTTTAAAGAATTATTATGAGTAATATACATTTTTTTTCTTTAAAATTTTGGATACTGATTTTTTATAGCTATCAAACTGTAATAGGACTAGTTGTAAAAATTCATTCCTCACCAAAAAGAATAGAAAAAAATGAAAAGGCAACAAAAATGCTGTGTGCAATGGAGCTAGAAGATTGAATTTTTTATGGATGGATTAATGAGAACTCCAAACACATTCATCACCTAAATTTGCAGCAATCAAAAAAAGGTAATGATGTCTTGCCAATTTCATATCAGAATGCTCTGCTCTTCAAGATGAATCTTTTGTTGTTAGGAAATTTTTTTTTACTGCAGTTTTTAATAAATTTTTATGTTAGGAAATTATCTTTTATTGTAATTTTTTAAAAAATTATTTTCTCTATAATAATTTTATAACCACTTTTATAAAAAGTTATAGTAATCTCAAACGGATCCTTAATGTGAGGATTCTTTATAGTTTTTTTTTTGTCAATCAAAAATTTATGATTAATAATGCCCAATTTTTTTCGAGTAATAGTTCTACATAATATAAGTGCTTATTGTGTTATATGGAGATTAGTTCATATTAAGGCTTAGCTAAATTCGATTGAAATTTTTAACCCATCTAATCGATGAATTGGATTCAGGTTGGCTCTATTTAGGGAATTTTTATTACATCCGGTCTGCTGACTTAGCTCTACGTTCGGACGCCAGTAAAATGGTGCCACGTGCTCCTACTCTTTACCATGCGGCCCGACGACCCAACTCGGACACAGACTCGGTATTGCTATGTATTGGCTGATTTGTGCATACCGGGATATTGCTAGGTATTGCTCGGTAATGAAAAATATAATTATATCAAGACCAATACCTAGCAATACCCCAATTTTGCTAGGTATTGCTCGGTATTGGTCTTGATAGAGCGATATTTCTCGTTATTGCCAAGCAATAGCTAGTAATACCTAACAATACACGAACATAGCAATATCGAGTTCCGGTCCGGGTCAGGTCGTCCAGCCACGCTGTAAAGAATAAAAGCACGTGGCAACATATTATTGACATCCAAACGTAGAGCTACGTCAGGACACCGGACGTAATAAAAATTCCTATTTAGGCTAGCTCATTGTTTACTGGAACTTCAAGCTAATCCTAAATAACCAAAAAGGACACCATTAATTTAGCAAGTTGAGGGGCCTCCGATCATCTAAACATAAATATTAATATTATTCATAGAATCGCAGATATATAGTAATCTAAACATAAATCCTGAACTCTCAAGGTCTTATCACAATATTCTTATATAAATTATTTCCCATGTGAATCATTTTGAATTCACTATGAGTCAGATCAAATGACTTAAACATCAAACAAGAATCATCTGATGATTATATAATTTTATAAAAATGATTATAAAATTATTGTAGAAAAAATATTTTTTTTAAAGTTATTATGGAGATTATAATTTTTTTCTAATCAAACAATTAATTTCTTAAAAGTTATTATACATTAAGTCATTAACAACTCATATTGTAAAAAATAATTTTCCACCAAAAACAATCTAGAAAGCAACAAAAAATATCAAAAAAATAATTTTAAAAATGAAACAATAATTGTGACCTAAAAAATAAAATAGTGAAATAATTATCCCAAATAAACTCTAAATTTATGATTTCATTTGAGATAATTTTTTATTACTATTCTTAAGAAATTAGTAAAAAAGCTATCCAAACAAAACTTAAAATTCTAGTTCCAAGCATATTCAAACAAAAATCAATCCAACCTCGAATCTAAACTATGCCTACTTAGACCGCAATCACCGAGCAGCACAACAATGTCAAACATAGCCCCACAGCTGAAAAACACACAGAACCTGAAAAATAATTATCGTCCGGAGACCAACCAGAATGCACCACATCACCCATGTGCTCGTTACCGCGGCTCGGTACCGTTCAGTACCGTTGACATGACGCATTCTGATTGATCTCCGGACATCGCTCTACATTTGATCTCCGCACAAAATAATTTCTCCCGAAAAACAGAATTGAGCATTGAATTTATTTTATTTACTCTATTTTGCAGCAACTGCTAATGGTTTTTCGGAGAGACGTCCCAGAAAACTGTCATTTGCCTGATTTCCTGCAGAATTAAAATTACATAAAATGCCATTTCTCTCTTCATGATGTGGCTGGAGCTTCAACCTCCCCATCCTTAACATCAACAGTACTCTTCGTCCCTTCCTCGATCCGTTTCTGGCTCGCCAAAGCTCTTCTACTTTCCCTCCTCGCATCCCTCTTAGCAATCTTGTACTCCTCAAAGCCCTTTGCAATCTTGGCTTCCTCTTCTGGGGCGAAGAATCCCACCTCCATATTGCTGAACTCCTCGTACATTTTCTCTACCTTCGCCTTCCATAAAACGCCCAGCTCGGTATCCATTTTGTGATAGGGTGTCTTCAGGAGGTACTCATCAATGCCGCCAGCTTTGTCGATGCATCGCAGTGCGTGAGTGGTAACTTTTACACGGATGTGGCGGTCATGAATATAGCTGAAGAGACGCTTCTGCTGCACATTTGGCTTCCATGTTCTTCTGGACCTTCATCACGAGGATAAACAATGTGGTATCAGTCGATAGAATCGTCGTTCTATGTGAAGGATTGAGTACAGAATGTTTGATGGCATCAATGGTGAAAATATTGGAAAGATTGACGTGTACTAATGTGCAGTATTAGGTATGTAGAGTATACAACAACTAAAAAATTGCAATTTGATATTTTGTTTCTACAAGGTTAACTCCAACAACACCCTTGTGATACAGAACAACAAATAAACATGATCCGATTGAGGAGAAGTTATTCTGTGCGGAGTCCGGACGCAGCTCTACGTCCGGAGGCGAATCGGGAGCAGCCACGTCAACGATACCGAACTGCGGTAGCAAGCGGTGCAGAGCAGTGCCGAGCTGCGGTACACAACGAAGGGGTGACTTGGCGCATTCTGGTTGATCTCCAGATGGCATTTGGAGTTCGCACAGAATAATTAATCCCCATTGAGATGTACACAAGCAATTAGATTAGATCCATTTTGCTTTAGATTGTTCAATAAAAATGTGAGAAAGTGTAATGAGCTTTCGCTTAGGAAATGAGAATGGACTGCGGGAGCAAAATGGGCACCAATTTACTTTTTTTAGATTTATTTTGAGAAATAAAGCTTCTATTTATAAGTTGGGAGGTGGAGTTTTACCGGAGCAAAATGGGCACCTAACAAAGTGAACTCTAGTTAGATTTTTGTGTAGATTTCTTTGGGAAGTGGAGTATTACTCAAACTATAAAATTTTTTATAACAATCCCCCTATTCTCCTTCCTCTCTTGTCTCTCACTCTTGCTTGTGCACATTCACACAAAACAAAAGATTGTCACAGCTATTGGCTCTAAAATCATGGAAAGGAATTATCATCCTCCATTTGCAATCTAGTCAGTCATGTAATTAGTCCTCAATTGACAGACTAAAAAAACCTAAAATCCTAAGATATGCTGTCAAGTGGATCTGAAGACTAAGGCTTTATTTGGGACGGCTTTCTTTCTGCTTCTTAAAGCAACTTCTTAGTATAAAAATTTTAATTTTTATACTAAGAAAATGTTTTAAGAAGCAATAAGAAAGCCGTCCCAAACGAAACCTAAAACTTAATTTTAAGCATGATGAACTGCAACTATGCTAACTTCAGGACATCCTTTCCATTCAGCCTCTGAAATTTTCAGCTTTAGCAAATAATCCACCTTACATAGGTGCTTTAAATTCACTGCCGCCGGATCCTAGATCAAATTAAAATGGATCCTACTTGCAGCTTGCTGCTTATCAGATCACTATAGTTTTTTCCACAAATTCTTTGGCTCCAACCCTCACATTAGAATCAACATAGATAAGCATCCAAAAAACCTTCCAAAACAGCCTCTTTGAGTTCTAAAGCAAACAAGGTTGACCAACAGAACAAAATTTCTTTCCCTTCATTATGTGCCTCCCTATCATCTTGGAATGTAAAAGGCCCCCAAGAGGAAGGTTGTAATCTGTATTAATAAAACTTTGTACAAGATCTCCAAATTGATATGATTTGTATTCTTAAAATAAAAGTAAACTTGAATCTTTGTTGGATCCATATAAGGGGGTGTCATTTATTTTATAGTTCAATTAGATTCTCACCTGTGTTTATGCTATCAATGTTGTTTGTGGCAGAAAAGGACCTTTGGAATTCCTCGATTGATTTATTTGCCTATATTAATATTGCTTGGCTTGTTCTTGTGAGTTTCAGTCAGAAAATAGTGGGTGGCTATCCTTCACCATTGATTAAGATGACCAAGATAGAGCTTATTGATCTTACATGTATGAGCCTCTCTCCTTCATTTGATTTAATAGTCAATTAGAAAAATCCCACCACTCAATGAGTGATCATGCCTTATGCAACACTCATTGGCTAGATGATTACCCTTTTAACTTTATACAAGGTTCTTCCAGCATTGCCATCTGACTGCTAAGAGCATCTCCAACCGAACGTCAAACATGTGTATGACGTCGTTGGGTTGCTCTAGCCAAACGTCAAATCTTCCACTATTTGCTTGCGGGTGAACAGTGCGACGTCAATATTGGCGTTGCACTATTCATCTACGCTATTTTTCTATCTCAACCATATTTGTTGAAGAAACGCGCAAAAGAGGAGAAAGATGGTTACCTTCGCATAAGCGCGCAAAATGGAGTTCCATTGGAGATTAATCATGGCATTTTTTAGTTTCACTGCATTTTGGAGTGAAAAAATGGGATTTTCGGTTAGAGATGCTCTAAGCTTTTATTGTCAATATGGGGAATTCCAATCCTATCTAGCACAAACTTCTTTTCAAGAACTACAGGACAAATGCTTCTGATTTTAATGCTCAGGTTGCTTCTACTTAGAAAGGTCATGTTTATGAAGAACAAATCTTTGTTCTGTGTAAAAAAGCTTAAAGCAACTTTGAATAGCTTTGTTTGAAATATAGCCCTCTAATTTTCAAACAAATTTATGCTTCTCTTAAGCATGGTCATGTACACTGGCTGTTCTTTCTTGTTTATCTTTTATGTTCGTTGGACTATTTGTATTAAGTTAGTCTTTTTGTTTACAAGCTACAAGTTTTCAATTGCATGTAATTATAGTGCACCCTTTTGTTGAGATGCACTTGTACATGTAACCTTTTTGAATTTAATGAAATTGGACTTTTGCCCTCATCATTCCCAAAAAAAAGTGCTTCATTCTTCTTTCTATGATTTTCTCGTTGTTCAATAAAAGATAGATAGTGTGGAGCGAAAAAAGAAACAAAAACATTATGAAAATGCAACTATGCAAGATAAAAGAAAGAAAGAGTAAGAAATTTTTTAATTAGAAAATCGGTGGAAGAACGCCCATTGAAGATAAAATTGTCAAAAGCAGACAAGGAAGATTTTGGCATGCGTAATTGACAACAAAAAATGCACCAACAATATGGGAAGATTGAATTGATGTAGAAGGATTAACAAATAGTAGACCTAAGGTAATGTGACTATAAGTTGAACCAAAAGGGTAGCTCAAAAATTACCTAACAACAATGTATCACTTAGGAATGAATGGAAGGAGATGATACATAAAACTAATGAGTATCAATATTCCACTTGTTTTTCCGATTACAGTAAAAAAAATGGAAGGTTCTGAGATCCTTACTTCAAGATCCGTTTCAAACCCAAAAAAAATCTGAAGCTTTTGAAGACCCATTTCCCAAATTCTTAGTGAACTATGAAAAACAAAACTTATGATTTCAAAATATGAATGGATTATTTTCCATTTTACTTGTTTATTTCCTACAAAATTGTATGAATATAAACTTCCGGTTACATTTATTTTTCAATTCCCGTAACTTTCACACTCCAAGCAGTGCTATTGACTGATATTAATCTTGAGTTTAATTAAAATATGATCAAAGTCGACAAGAAATTATCTCTATCAAAGGACTGGTTTAGTGCGTGCAACTTGATGTAATTCACCGAATGTGAGCTGCCACTAGCAGACTAGAAGTCGAAGGACTGAATAAGACAAATCCTTGAAAGAAATACGCTAAGAAGCTTAGAAAAATTACTTGTTTCCACCATCCTCACTGATCTTATTGCCAAACTGGATGTGCCGCCCAGCGAAGATGCCGCGCTTCGCTCTTCCCATGACAATCTTGCTGTTAGGGAGGCACTTCTTTACCGTCTCCATCACCTCCGCCGGCACGTCCTTTCCCACCTTACGCGCGAACTTCTTGTACAGCTCTTGCGCTCTGAAAGACATCGTGTAAACCCAACGGGATCGATAAATATGAAGACGAAGCAGGAAATCGTCAAGATAGCTCGGATCACAAAGGCGGCACCGGAAATGTCGCGGGAGATGGCTGCGACATATACGTTGTGGCGTTGCAGCAGCCAAACTGTAACATATGACAAAGAAACAATTAAAGGGTACGGCAGGGATAGAAATAGAGGATTCAAAGATGGAAGGAGGCAGCAGGAGGATCGAATTGACGCTGAGGTGCGAGCTGATCGTTAGCGAGGGTGAAATGGGCAATCGGGACGACCGGAGCACTGAAGAGGGACAGGTTTTGTAGTTAGGGTTCATCGCAATTATGGACCATTGGATTTAAATCGAATGATCTATATTGATTCTAACATTAAATATTAGGGAAATTTACATACATACCACTTTATACCATCCTATTTACATATCTAACACTTAAAACTTTAATATTACATACATACCACCCTATATTATTTTAATATCAAATATACCACTCATATTTTCTTCCTACCACTCATATATTTCATTTCTACCATTCACATTTGATATGAAATTGAACTATGAGTGGTATAAATGTAATATTTCATCATCAAGATAACCAAACTCCAAAAATGAATACTCTTAGGCCAAAAATAAACCATGAAATTATTGCTCCTCTGTATTTAAAATTTGGACAAGGAAAGAAATAATATTTATGACTTATGAAGTTACGTAAAATTAAGATGAATATAACTAATAACACAACAAAATGATCTGGAAGAAACCTAACTTGATTGGGGATAGGGAAAGCCAAACTAGATGTGTGTCAACGAATAAGAATCTTAGTGAAAATAAAGGACAACGAAAAAAAAAAATTCTAAAAGGTATGGTGTTGATTATTGAAATATTGCACTTATTTAAGTTGAACCTCCAAATTTTTTAGGATGATCAACTCATGCCGGTGGGATAAGAGGCCTTACCTTTGAATCTAGCATGCTAACTCAACCAAAAGTAATAGATGTCTAAGAATCTAATATGCTGAGTCCCCAAAGGATGCTTATGCAGAAAACTCTAAGATGTCGAATTGACAACATGGAGGAGAGATGCAAATATATGATGCATATAAGATTAGAAAATGTCTGATATAAAAGACTATATGATATTGAGTCAACAAAAAGAAATTGTATATTGAAACTCTAATATATTAATCAAGAGATCTAGAATGTTAAGGTTGCAATAAAGAGGCAAATGATTAATCTATGATGTCGAGATAATCATGAAAGTCTTATATCAAAATCTCTAAGATAATGAGTGATGAGAATTAAATGAGGAATGTAAACTCTATTATATTAAGTCAATGGAGAATGTTTATAATGGTAATTGTAGTGTGATAATGGATGACTCTAGGATGTTGATACAATCAATAAAGATTTATGCCAACTCCTCCATTGATGTCAGGTCAATGACAAAAGATTAAAAAAACACATGCTATAGTATGTTGAGTGAATGGACGACACTTATATTAGTAACTTTGGTATGCCAAGCTAGCAACAAGAAGGTCAAGGACAACTCTAGAATGTTGAAATGACCATAGAGTGATAATTTATTACATGTGCTGCATCATATGATGGATTCATGGCATCCACTCTTATATTTTTTTGCCCGCATGCATGATTTTTTTATTTGTTGCATTGATCGTTACATAAGTGTGTGAGTTTTTTCAATCTTTCAATTGCATTTGAATTCTAATATGTATTATTATGTGTTATTTGTGAGGTATTTGCATAAACATTTTTAATTGTGATGTCGTCGCTCTCCTCGACTTTAAGTTATGACCTTTGCTCATTCAACTAGTGTATGCATAGTTATGACCTTTGCTCATTCAATGAGTGTATGTGCACTCACTATTCAATCAAGATAGTTGTACTCTAATTAATGTATGTTTTTTTTTTTTTGTTATGCTTTGGAATTCATTATGTTTAATGTGATGACAATACATATAGGCCCTACTTTACTCTTACACCCATTTATAAGTTTGGTAAAAGCAAGTCCCTGGGCACTTTATAGCAATATGGCGATGAGAACTCTTTCAAGGTTATATACTTTGGATTGTTAAATCATATGATACTCTATAGTTCTTACTACTCACTTGTAGGCCAACTTATAAATGTCATGTCCTTTAATATCACATGATAGACATAATTCATAACCATAGAAATATTCTTAGGATCTTTGTAAATGTGTTAATGAGTATAGAATATTAAAGTGAAAAATATATTTAAAATGCTTAAAGCTTGACTCTATAATGATCTTAATAAAATCTATAAAACTCTTTCATCGTAAAAGAGATTTTATTAAACATTGGGGTCGTTGATCCATACCTTTTACAACTAGTGATTTAATGGGAATGTTAGTTTTTGAGCTCAACTTGTTCTAGTTGATCCCATACATGACCAAACATATGTCCTAAAGAATCTGATATAATACTTGAGTTGTTTATTGAGTTACCAATACAACTATAGATTTTCTATTAGATGATCTAAGTGAACTAGTGACCATTCTCTGAGTTAATCATAGCGATTTTAGACTACTATGTAGGCTCTTATCATCTTTTAACCCAAGTATTAGCTGATTGACAATAAGTGACTTAGTAGTCTCCTTAGCTTTTAGATTGTAAGTGGATTGCTTGAAGATCTCAAGTGATTTTTTGATGCTATAATAACCCTTAGATGGATGTTGAGTGTGTTAGTAGCTACATTCCTAATTTTTTTCCTTATATAATCCTAAGTGGACTAATTAACATATCCTTAGTCTTCTTTAATGTTTCCATATTTTATTAGTAGTTCTTTCCCCACAATTTTCAAACTTGAGTGATGTAGTTATCTATCTTAATCCATTCTAATTGACCCTAAGCTGATTAGTGGATTGTCTTATGTGATATTTGATGATCCTAAGGCTAATTAATGAATGATTTAATTTGAAGCTTACTCTTGAGAATATTAAAGTGGTATTCAGCCTTATGATTAATGTCCACAACATTGTACCCTTAGGCCTTATGAAGGTGTGTCCTTTTGAGAGGGGGATAGGTTCTTTTGTATGATCTCTTAATTTTGGTAATGACTTAGACATATGTATTCTAGATGCCTCATGCCAACTTAGACTAGTCTTTGTTATTGAATCCCAAGCCTAAGTGATATAGGTCTTAGGAGTTTAAGGGGTCAATTACCATCCACTTCTTTAGTACATTTTAATTCATCTTAGGCCTTATATCCATGATGAAGTATTATATATGGGGTGAGTTTTCTGTCTTTTTAATATTTAAAAAATATAAATTTTTATACTATGGGTGGTTTTAGAGCCCTTGTGATAATATGGCTTTGTTTAAGGTGGGAAATACTCACCACTATTGAGTTTTTAATAGTTCTTAATGGTGGAATATCTAAGTAAAAAAATGTATCAATAAATTGGTTTAAGTCATTAATAATAGTAACAAATTATCCTTAGTTGGTAAACTTAAAACAATATAAAATTAAAACATTTACATCATTTTTTGTTGCATCCATTATACATGATTTATGTCCTATTTCACCACATCAACCTCACTTAATTTGTTTATAATATATCATTTTCATCTTATTATCTTAAATTTTAGCTCACCAATTGTGCTATCACCTAATACGATTGAATATAAGATCAACTAATTTTATAGTCATGTTAACTATAGTCAAATGCAATGAGCAATGTCAACCCCCTCCCCTCTTTAATTACCCCCCTTGTAATATGCAACAAATGCATTTAATTTTGTATTTATAGCTCTAAAATATACATTATAACTAATTGCAAATATTTTTTGACATATTTAAATGAAATCTTAGAATATTATTTCAATCTTCACCTAGTTAGATCCATCACACACTAGACCAACTAGTTCATGGGCTACTCAATTTTGTTTGTGACCTAAACAATTATCTTTTTTACTTTGGTACCACCTATTCAAATCATATCCAAATAACATGTTTAGACACACATCGACTCTTCTCACTTTAACACGCATGTTAGGTGCACCCTAAGTTGTCTCAATCCACATACACACTAAGATCACTTGCATTAGTCAAGTAAACCTTAGAGAGACCAAAATTTTATACTTCAAGTATCATCATTTTAAAATTTTGTTAATAGTAAAATTAAAAATTTCACCTATCATTTTAACTTTTATTATATAATATTAATTAAAATTAGATTTGAGCCATGCACCTAGTACTTTTTAAATTTTTCATCATCAAAATTTAATAATATAATTAAAAGTATATATTTTACTCCATCCATATGCAATTTGTAAATATTTTTATTATACTTATATATTTTATAATATAAATAACTTTTAAAGTGCACACAATATAAAAATTTTGATATACCAATGTAAAGAAAATTATCAAAGAAATAATAAACTCATCAATAAATGAAAATTTTACCAAGATATTTTTTAGAACAACAAATGAGCATATTCATTATTATAAATGAGAATCAATTTTATTTATTTCCATATTAAGATTTTAACAATTTATCAACATAATTCCATTTAAAACATCCTGTTCACCGCAAGTGACACTTTAATATATCTCATAACCAAATAAGTGCATTATATAATTTTTTAATGAATTAAAATTCTTAATTTAGGGTTTGTGAAAGAAGATTGTAGTTTAACTTTGATAAAATATCAAATTATTTGGTGTAGTATTCTTTGTAATTCTTTATAAATTTTTTTAAATTTTTTCCAACTATTTATTGAATTTTTAATTTTTAAGTTATTTAATGTTTTTTATTTTTATTTAATATATTTTTATGCAAAAAATTATAAATAATTTTTTGATGCTAGGGATATTCTTAGGAACATCCATAAAAATTTAATTTTTTTTTTTGAATTAATCTTAAATATAATTAGTTTTAATTATTTAATAATGAAAATTGAGCTTTGTTATTAAGATGAACATGAAAATTTTCAGAAAGGTTAAGAAAAACTTTAGACACTTTCCATTAAAAAATTGAGCTTATTTAAATTTGATTTAAAATTTTATATTACTAACTTTGATTTAAATTTTTATATTATTTAATTTTTTAATAAAATAACTCCAAAATTAATAAAATTTAGCACATGAGCTATGCATTATACAATGATGATCTCATAAATGTTTAAAACTAATTGGAAGTATTTTTTATTTATTATAAATTAACTCATTTAATAGTATGATTTATTCACACTAATATTAAAAAAAAAAAACTTTATGATGTTAAAGCATTGGGGAATTAGCACTTTCTATGTTTATATATAATTAATTTCCAAGTTATTCCACATTTTTAAAATTTTAGTTTAATTTTTAATTAATTTTTGTTAAATCTAATCCTTTTGCAATGAATTTTAGTGTACTCAACCAAGGGGCTAGAGAGAGCTCTCTTATATTTTCTAGTTATAATCATTGACAATCATTACCAACTATTGCCATCGACAATTTTCATCACTGTCAACGATCACTATAAATAATCACCACCATATCTAGAATTCTAATAAGATTTAAACATGTTGTTGGGTATTGGTGTCTGCATGTGGACACCTACTTCTTATAATCCATGTTGGCACAATAAAGCATTGCTGTTGGTATTAATTGTTCATTTATGGACCCTTGATTTATGTTAACCCCTATAAGAGAAATCAAATATCTTATTCTAAAATAGTCTCTTATTCTTCAACTTTGAAGAATGAATGATTCTTGTATCTTCAGATATATAATTGATTTTCCATCTTGGTTATGCCTCGTGTTTTTTTACCTTTTTGGGTTATCTATGTAAAAAATTTCTAGTATTACTATTTTTATCTAAGCGCGTCAAATTTTTATACAAAGCTGAGATGTAAAACACACATTCTATTGACTCATATTTTCTAAAACGTAATAAATATATTTTCTATTTTTATCATATTTTCTTAAATAATATCAACATGCTTTTGATGCACTCGCAATTAAACTAGATTATCCATTATATTGTCTAATTTGCAATAATTCAATATTTCCATCAATTCAATAACATTGCATATTTTACAAACTTAAATTATTATTTGATTTGCTTGCTATCACATTAAGAAATTTCATTAGGATAAAGTTAAACACCATAATTTGATAGGTTGACTACAATATCTATAATGATAAGTACATTCCACTTTTATTTGTATTTCACTAGTTAATTAGAGCATAAAATGAGTCTATAAGCAAATGCCGTTTTTTTAACAGCCCTAGCAAGAAGTCATATTTGGCGCCAAGAACTAATGCGTGATCCTACGCTCTAGTTACCTCAAAACCCTAGAGGGAAATTTCGGACCAAAACGATACCGGCGGCGAGCAAGGGGTAGCATGAGGAGAAGGACTCTCCGTTTGCCTAGCTCCTCCGACGAGGATGAAGCTCCCCCGAGGCCTCAAACTGTAAACACGTCGAACACTAACCATAGACGTAGCCCTCCGCCTCCCCAAAACGATCCTCTCGAGATATCGGAGGATGAGTTCGTGGATGTAGAGGATGCTCTCTCGGACCATTCGTCCCCTCCGGTTTCTGTCCAGAATGCCGGGCTAACCTCCGACCCCGTCGAGGCTTCTGCCGGTGATCCCTCCGATGCTTCTGCTGGGCCAATCGATGAGTTTCTCCAGCGGGTGGGGCTAGCGCTGCGGCGGGAATGGCTGGCTTCCTGTTTGTCTAACTTTGTTCGCGCTGTTCCGGGATTTGAGGGGTTTGATATGGCCAGTAAGGCGAGGATGTGCTTTGAGCAGTTTCTTAGCGCGGACATGAACTATTGTGGTGCTGGCATCCTACCGGAGAATGTGCACTGCATGAACAAAATCGAGCTAGAGGGACCCTTCGTGTTGCAGGTGTGTGGTCAAGTCTCTGGTGCGAACTAATAAATTTCCTTCTTAGTTTTTCCTCAATATCACAGCTGTTATGTGACTTGAGCGTGTAATAACAATGAAAAATAATAGTTTGGTACTGTGAAAATTGCAATATTTAATTTTCTGATATCCTTTAAATATGTCAGCCCTTATGCATTCCAAGGAACAATGCATTTTTCGTTTTTGGATTACCTGTTTTGTATCTTAAAAGTATCTTCAAAGTTCAAACAATGTAATATACCATCCTAGGCTCTCCGCCTCTTTGTTCTAGTTAAAGAAGTCTATTCTTCTCTCTCTCCGTTTCTTCCTCGATCTCCCTGGTTCTTGTAATGCCTGCTGCCCCTCACATTTAAACTTCCTGTGCTTGCAATAGCTATCACTTCTGATCCCAACCCTTTCACTTTCTGTCTTCGTCTTTAACCCTTGCCTTCACTGCCCATCAACCTTTGTTAATTAGCCTCTCCTCTTTCTTGTTACCCCTGTGCTTTTCATTGTCCGTGGCATTCGCCTCTTCCTATTCCAATGGCATCCGCAAGTGTACGTGGTTGCTATTGCCTCTACTTCCGTCATCATTTATGGCCTCCAATGCAGCATTTCTTTATCTATGTTTATGCATATAATTTCAATAATCACAACCAAATGTTTGATATCCATATCCATACAAATGTTTTCTGAGTCCATTATTAAATAGCCATAACCATATAATCTGCAATCGTATCCAAATTTTGAATAATTTGATTCTTACATGCATGTATTCAATTCCATGGTTTGAATAATTTGATTATCATTTTTTAGCAATCATGTTCATTTGTTCTTTAATCACATCTGAAATTTTCATAGCCAAATTCACAAAGATAGTAACCCTATTCTTATTTTTAGCAATGAGTTTTAGGTTTAACAACTAGTTTAATTGTTTACGACAGCTAGATTGCAATATCATACAATTACATTCAATATTGTAGTAATTTGATTCATTTTTCTAGCATAAACATATCCATTTCATCAGGAAAACAGCATTATTCTAATAATTGATCCAGACGTTCAGTAACCACAAGCACGTTAACGTACATAAAACATATTTTGATCTTCAGTGATTTGATCTACTCAGCCAATGAACACATCCAAACTTTCAATAACCATATTTACAAAGGAAGTACTATTTTGAACATGGGTTTGCATGGAATAGCACGAGTTGCTAGGATCTCGGATTGGTAGAATTTGCAGAGATAAATGTTATGGAGGGTACAATAGTTACACTAAGATTATTTTTTGTAGGGAAATCTTTGGTGGGAAAGCTATTGGACTTAGGAAAAATCACGAAGTCCAAATTAGCGTTATTGACATTTCTTAAAACAACAGAACTCAAAAGTAAATTTAAGTGAATCTTAGGACCTTATATAAATTTCTTGTTTTTTTTTTGTATCTTGCAGTTATGTTGGGAAATGGGTGACAGTCCTTATTTTCTTTTCTCTCTAGTATAACTGCTCCAAGGAGAGAAATGGGCTACATATTCCATTTTCATTTTATCAACGTAATAAATGTTAGTGTGAGTGCAATTGTTCTTGAACCATTTGATAAAATACCACCATTTGCTGCAGGCAACAATATTGTGGGCCTGTAGCTGTTAGTGTTAGTTGTCAGTAAAGCATTGTATGCTTAATTTCTAATATCTTTTCAATAGTATATTAATTTTGATATTTCTTTTTAGTCTCTGATATTTTTGAAACTGCCTTTTCTGTTTGAATCTGGAACTTTGTTCAGCATTCATTGTGTTGTAAGCTAACTTTGTTTCCTGTCTGCCACATATTAAGGATTGATATACTCTTGTTCACTTTTTTTTCCTTATTTTCTTCTAGATTCAGCACTTGAGCATTGTTATTTCATATATATTTGTTATTTAAACATGATTTCTTCTTTTAGGTTGATGAAGTTACCAATATAAGTTGTCGACTTCGAGAGAGGTATCATGATTCACCGGCTAGCTTGAAAAGATGTTTGAAACTATCCTTATCGGATGGCGTACAACATGTTTTTGGCATGGAATACAGGCCTATCCATGACTTAGAAGTTCTTTCTCTTGCTGGTTTTAAGGTCAGTATATTGAAAACCTGTAGTATGTATGAGTCTATTACATCAAAGCCCGTAGCTTTGACATGACATTACTTTGGCCCATTGTCTGAAAATTTGCTTTAATTTCATGTTGTTAATGATGATGATGCTTTTTATGATTATGGTGGACCTCTTTTTTCATATGTTTATGTGCTACAGATATTTAAGAGCGCCTTCTATTCTCATAGATTGAGTTAGTTAAGATGCTGCTTTCAATCTAATGTAGTTATGCTTTGCTTGAAGAGCTATAGTAGTAAATTTATTTTTTTGAAGAACATATTTTGCCAAAAATGATTCCATGAAAAGATCATCATTGATTGTTTTTAATGCTTGCTTTGTTGTTCGGTTTGAATTTGGCCTAGGATAGATTGATTGCTTTGTGAACTGTCTTGTTAAATAAAAGTATGTATATTTTTAACACTAGATTTATATGTGTTTCATTGTGGAAAATGTGTGCAATACGATTCACATTCTTATGTCTATAGCTATGAATCATTGTGCATTTCAATATAGTCAATATTATTTTGTCATATTTTTTGTTATCATTCTATTGTTACATTACATTATCAATAGATTTGTTTGAGTTTCACTATGTAATAATTGCACATGAACTCATAACTTGTTTGTTGAACACTCGAATTTAATAGACTTTAAACATCAAAATCAATTTGCTTTTATCAGAAGATGGCTTACTTGAAATAAACTTGATTAAATTGAGCATCCACTCCATGCATATGCATATGATTTGTCTCCACACACATTATAATGATAGAATTAGATATATATATATATATATATATGTTGACCTCTAACAGATAAGCTAAAAGAAATAAAAAATTTGCTTGAAAGGATTACCTGTGTCGGACCCATGCTGAAATCCTGACCGAATCCTGTGCAAATTGCCGCAGCTACAGTACCCATACCCTGCAAACGGCGTCGAAGCAGAGCCGACCACGCGCGATTTCACATCGATAGCGCCTCTTCCTTCTTCTTTAAAATGCGAACGAAGGCTCCACTATCGGGGTTCCACACGCGAAAGCCTCTCCACATGAGCGGCTTCACCATTCGCACTCCAGCTCGATACCTCTCCCCTCCTTCCGACTCTTCCTCCTCTTCCATCCGAAGCCTCCACCCGATCCATCTCTCCCGTCGATCCTCAGAGAGAGAGAGAGAGAGATCCGTCGTGCCTACCTGTAGCCGCCCGATCCCATTCGGTCGAGCTCCCCCGTTCGGTTTTCTCTCCTAAACCCGACAGCCTCCACTGCCTGTCTTCTAATGCATCTAGCCGAAACCTTGATCTCCAAGCAGGATTTGTAGCCGAAGACCTCACTTGGACCCTTACCTATAGCCGACTCCTGCCCGTTCTTTCTTGCCCGATAATTCCTTAGGTTATTATGTATAAATGTAATTAATATGTTTTATTATTAATTACTACTGTATTATTGTTATTATTATAATTGATACTTAAGTTTATTATAAGTAATAACTACAATAATAACAGTTACTTATTGTTATTATTGTTATTATAATAATAATATAAGTTATATTATCAATTATAAAAATAATAAGTTATTATATCATTATTTTTAAGTATAATTAATTTATAAAAATAATTATAATTAGTTATAAACTAATTATAAAAATCAAATCATAGTTAATTATATCATAATAATAAAATGATTATATCATTAAGTATAATTAATCATTCTAATCATGATTAATTAATTATAATTATTTATTATCATTAATACATGATTAGTGAGTAATGTAATATAGATAATTTTATATTAATTACAATTAATGATAATTAAATTATCATTAATAATAATTAATTATTTTACTTATAATTAATCTTAAAAAAGTATTATTATTCTTCCTGGCTTGCAACGGGGCCGGCAAACCCCCTACGTGCTGCACCGATAGCCGTTGTAGGGAGGGCGAAACCGGCCGCGAACGCTCTGTGAGCGATTTAAAGAGTCCCTCTCATGCTGCTAGCACGAGCTGGCAAACCCGCTGCGCGCGTCGTAGCGTTGTAGGCAGGAGAAGATACGGTGCGAAGGCTTGGCGGCGAAGGGGGATAAAAAAAATAATATAATATATATAGTATATATATATATATTAGTATGACATTTATAAGTCATAGAAATATCACTCCGAACGCCACGTCTGGTGCAGATGGGGGGAATCTGTGCTTTTTCTAACCATGTTGTTTTCTTCTTGTAAAAAAAACTCCCTTAAATGCTCAACTGTAGCGGGCGGGATAAAAAATACTTTCTGCAATCATCACGCGGTGTCATTTTTGAACCTACCTGATGGCAACTTCACGTTAGCGCGAGGGGAAAGGTTGCCTCTTGGTTTTTCCCCTAAACATGGGAGACGCTGAGGAGGCTGCCGAAATTGGTCGAAAATCCAGGAATTTAAAATTATTAAGTCTTAATTTGGGACATCATTTGAACTAAATTCAAAACTTGAATAAGGTTAAATGGCTTTAAGCAAGATTTCAAAACAAGAAGTTTGTGCAAAGACTTGAGTTGGACTCAAAGTTGACCTAGACTTGGACTCTCATTCGAAGCTCAACAAGACTACAAGGCCTTGAATCAGTTTTTTTGAACATCATGAGAATATAATTGTTGAACTCAAGTCTAATAAAAATATTGAGTCTTGGATAATCAAACTCAAAACAAACTCAAAAAAATAAGAGGTGGACCACTTGAACTCAAAAGAGCTTGGTGCAATGAATTTTGATTCTTGAACTTGGACATGCAAAATTGCTACAAATGACAAATGAAATTAGAACTTGATTTGAACAATCATGCAATACTTGAGCTCAAACTTTGTAAGCTTAATTTGGATACAAAGACAACATGACATGAAACTGCAATTTGAACTTGGTCTTGAACCTTACAAAATCATGGATAGCTTATTACACATAAATCGATAATAAATTGAAGAAGATAAAAACTCTGAGGCCAGATTGAATGAGT